CCCTAACCCTAACCCTAACCCTAACCCTAACGCTAAACCTAACCCTAAACCTAACCCTAACCCTAAACCTAACGCTAAACCTAACCCTAAACCTTACCTTAACTTAAATCACGCTTCTGTCGGCGCGCTGTTGTCGGCGTGCTTTTGACATTGCGGTTTTGTCGGCGTGCTTTTGACATTCGCGGTTATGTCGTGCCACGAGTTAACCATCAGACTGTCTTAAAGAGACGGGAAAAATTGCTGGCAGAATAAAAAGCTATGAAAGAAAACGCAAGATGACCTGCAGAATTGATCAAAAGGATGACACACATCCCTGAATAGAAAGGGGAGGGGAAAAGGTGGGGGAGTAAGGTCACTAAATAAAGTATTTATTTATAAATAAGGAACTCTTATTTCAATTTCTGCTCTGCTCTGCTCTACTACCCTACCCTACTGTTTACTGCTTCCCCACCAACAGGAATAGTGCAGAGAAAAAGAAAAGCCTCCTTCCAGGGCTGCCCCATTTCCCCCGCCCCCTGCTATCAAAGTGGACACCACCACCCCAGGCGCTGAGCTCAATAGGGAAATGGGAAATGGAAGGCTTTTCCTTTTCCCCTGCTCCTCATATTTTCCCCATGCCAGCAGCTGCCTTTCCCATTCCACTATTGAGCTCAGAACCCAAGGAGATCCACTTTGATAGGGGAGGGAGAGAGTAACGGAGTGTGAGGGAAGAAGCCGCTTTCCCTCTTTCTCTGCTCCTCTTCCTGCCGGCCTCTATTCAGAGGTGGTATTCAGCAGATTGTGACCAGTTCTGGAGAACCGGTAGCAGAAATTTTGAGTAGTTCGGAGAACTGGTAAATACCGCCTCTGACTGGCTCCACTCCCATCTATTCCCTGACTCCTGAGTCTCAGATGATTGGGAGAAAATGAGGATTTTACAGTATCCTTCCCCTGCCATGCCCACCAGGCCACACCTGCAGAACCAGTATTAAAAAAATTTGGACCCCACCACTTCCCTGGGCCATCAAGAAGTGATGAAAACAGAAAACATTGATGACCAGAGCATTGCTTATGAAGAAAAGGGTTTCCATGCTCCCTAGGATCTCAAATAGCAGGACTGAGTAGAGACAATAGCCACTTTAAACATTCTTTGAAGCACCACTGAATGTTTCTTTAAAAATAGAATATGTATGGGCCATGCTTATGTCTCTGAGCAATTAGGAGCCTTTTTAAATCAGCCCTCCTTGACTGTGTGCCTATACTGTCCCAACACTTCTGGAGGGCACACAGAAGTGTCAGCCCTTTGCGGTAAGCCAGCTCAGGAAAGAGAAATGCAGGATTCCTATCAGTTGTAGCATCCTTCTTTTTAAGAAAATATTTTACAGCTAGGAAGCAATTGGCAAAGACAGGCAAGTATAGTTGGATTCTGATGCCTACTTTATTATAATGCAGTAAAGTAGAAACAGAGAGCAACAGAGCATCAACACCAAGATTAATGTCACTGCTGCACTTTTGCCAGTAACATTAATTGTATTCAGGATGCAAAACTGCAAGATCTGGGAGAGGTCTCTGACTGTCTTGCTTGCTCTGAAAACAGTGGCTCTATATAGTGTTTCTCAACCTGTGAAAGCTGGTTGGGGAATTCTGGGAGTTGAAGTCCACACATCTTCATGTGGCCAAGGTTGAGAAACACTGGTCTATGGGATGTGGACATGTCTCAAAAAAAGAAAAAAGAAAGAAAGAAGAAAGAAAGAAAGAAAGAAAGAAAGAAAGAAGAAAGAAAGAAAGAAAGAAAGAAAAAAAAAGGCAAGCTGACATAAGGAGGCTGGCAATACAAACTTCATCCCTTTGGTAGATGCCTGTGACATTGACACCAAAGGGGCGGGGCTTGCATTTGACCTTGTCTTATGAAATAAAGGAGATAAACTAACAGCTGGAAGGGACCTTGAAGATCTTCTAGTCTAAGCCTCTGCTCAAGCAGAAGACCCTACCATTTCAGACAAGTGGCTTTCTTAAAAGCCTCCAGTGATAGAGCACCCACAACTTCTAAAGACAAGCCATTCCAGTGGTTAGTTATTCTGTTAGAAAGTTTCCCTTCTCCTTTTCTAGGTTAGTTTCCATCGTTTCTTGTCTTGCCTTCTGATGCTTTGTAAATAAATAAGTTGACCCCACCCTTTAGATATTGGAAGACTGCTATCATGTCACTCCTGGTCCTTCTTTTTACTGGACTATCCACACCCATTCCTGTAACCATACTTCATGTTTTAGTCTCCAAGCCTGTAATCATCTTAGTTGCTCTTCTATTTCCAGTCTATATCTTTTTTATAAAGCGATGACCAATTTCATGTGTGGTCTTACTAAGTTTTATAAACCAGGGCTAATACTTCACATGATCTTGAGTCTATAGCTATTTATGCAACCAAGGATTGCACTGGGTTTTTTGGCTGCTGGCTCATATTTAAGTCCACTAAGACTCCAAGATCCCTCTCAGAGTTGTTACTTTTGAGCAAGATTTCACATAATCTGTAGTGGTACATTTGCTTTTTATTGCCTGTGTAAAACCTTACTTTTCTG